GTAACTCAGTGAGACCCTGTCTCTAAATAAAATACAAAATAGGGCTGGGGATGTGGTTCAGTGTTTGAGTGCCCCTGAGCTCAATCCCTCATACCCCACCCCATCCCCCCAAAAAGAAAAGAACATATATAAGATCCATAATTCTTTGTCAGACACAGATGTGTTTCTTTCAAGATGCCCTTTCAAGAAAACTGGCTAGCTACAATCTCATTGTCTTACTATATGACCAAAAGCAAAATGCTCATTAGGATTAGTTGATCTGTTCACTGCTAACCCCACCCCAATCCACCCCTTGAACTGAGGATTGACCTCAGGGGTACTCTATTACTGAGTTACATCCCCCAACCCTTAGCAGATGAAGTACAGCTGTGCCACTATTCCAGACCCTGGTTAAAAATTGAGCAAGGGGCCAGGCATGGTGATGCAAGCCTGTAATCCCAGCTGCTCGGGAGACTGAGACAGGAGGATCATCAGTTCAAATATAGCCCCAGCAATTAACGAGGCTCTGTGCAACTCAGTGAGACCCTGTCTCTAATATAAAGAAGAACTGGATATATGGCTCAGTGGTTAAGCACCCTTGGGTTCAATCCCTGTTTTTTATTTATTTATTTATTTATTTTTTATTGAACAAGGTACAAGAAACAAGAGCTTAGCATTTCCATGGGACATCCCTCTTTAGGAGAAATCTGTTCTGGAACTCCCCACTGGACATCAAGTTCTGACAGATCTCATTGCCCAACTCCACTTTTTCCTGCCTTTCCTTCTATAGGGGTTATTCTCCAATAAAACTTGTTAGTCCTAACTGTCTCAACATTTGCTGCTCATAATTCATTTTGTTTCACTCCGGAAAAAGACCCAGATTCTTTTCTTTTTGGTACTGGGGATTGAACCTGAGGGTACTTTAACCACTGACTTCATCCCCACTCCTTTTTATTTTTAAATTTTGAGACAGTGTCCTTCTTGATAAGTTGCTGAGGCTGGCCTTGAACTTTCAGTCCTCCTGAGTTCCTGGGATTACAGGCATGTACCACTGCACCTGGTTTCCCAGATTCTAATTGGTGCATTTTTGTCTCTCATAAATTCCTGCACCTGGCATTCCAATTACCATCCTTGGAATTGAGTCAACCAACAAACATTATCTCCTGATCCCCAACCAGATTTCACTAGTTTTACTTGGAGCCCACTTTGACTTCCCTTTGCATTTCTCCTTTCTAACCTTATTTAGTAATTGTAGATTAACTGGGTGCAGGGGTGAATTCCTGTAATACCAGCTACTCAGGAGGCTGAGGCAGGAGGATCACAATTTGGCAAGGCCAATTTGTTCAATACTTTAGCGAGACCCTGTCTCAAATAATAAAAAGGTCTGGGGATATAACCCAGTAGCAAAGTAAGTGCACCTCTGTTAAATCCCCAGAAGGAGGGTGGGATATGAACAGATTGACTAATCCTAAAGGGCATTTTGCTTCAGGCATATAGTTAAAAAAAAAAAAAATGGGTATGGCCAAGATTTAAGGAAAACAAAAACATTCTGCCAGAGAACCAAATAAGGTATTCATCATTTGGTCAATACTGTGACTATTCCAGTAATTCATTACTACCATTCCAGAACCCAGTGACTTAAATAATGTATTTATTTATGATTCTGTGGACTCCTTGGGCAGGCCCTGCTAGGATGGCTGGCTATGCCCCATGTGATGAGAACTGTGCTCATTCAGGCAGCTTTAATTTGGGTTGGAGGATTTGTGACCTCACTCCCAGCCCCTAGGGTGGAGGGCTATATATATATATATATATTTTTTTTTTTTCTTTTTCTTTTGGTACCATGGATTTTGTTCAGGGGCACTCAACCACTGAGCCACATCCCCAGTTTTCTTTTTTAATTTGAAACTTACGTCTTGCTAAATTTGCCCATTATTGACCTCAGTCTTGCAATCTTGCCTCCTCACAGGCATCTGGGATTACATTCAGTTTCCTTGTAGTCTTTTCACCTCATAGACCATGAGGGTAACTGAACTCCCATGAAGGCTCAACCCCAAAAAGGCATAAACAAACTGCAAAGCCTGTGAGGGCCCAGGCTTGGGGCATTATCATGTATGCCACCTTGTGACTAGTCAAAAGACCAGCTCAGATTCAAGAGTAGGGGAAATAAACTTGACAAGAAGAGTGACAAAGTCATACTGCATAAAGGAATGAGAAATAGGAGGCATTACTGTGGCCAACTCTGGAACCAATCTTCCACAGCACACAGGAGAAATAGTTAAAATGTATGCAGTGCTTATCTGCTCACAATTAGGCTTATACTCTTTGCTAGATGTTGTTGCCCTCCTTCACCACACTGCTTAGGATTCTAAATGTAGAGTGGCCAAGTGTGGGCAGACAGTGGTTTTCTTTTGAGCAGCAAACTTGTTATGAGTCTAGAAAAAAAATCCTTTAAGCAGAACATGCTAAGTGACCTTCCTGTGCTTCCAAAAATTTTCCAAAATTGATGTGTAAGCAAAGATTTTTAGCAGCTGCCCCCCCCCCTTTTTTTCTTTTATTCTGGAACATCCATCCCTTTTGTGAGAACCACAATGAAATTCTGCATCATTTTTTTTAAAGAGAGAGAGAATTTCCTCAACATTTATTTTTAAGTTTTTGGCAGACACATCATCTTTGTATGTGGTGCTGAGGATCGAACCCGGGCCACACGCATGCCAAGTGAGCATACTACCGCTTGAGCCACATCCCCAGCCCCTAGTAGCTGCCCTTGATTTGGTTGACTTTCAAGAGTACATACCTGGAGGCTGGGATTGTGGCTCAGTAGTAGAGTGCTCACCTAAAACGTGTGAGGCCCTGGGTTCGATCCTTAGCACCATATAAAAATAAATAAAATAAAGGTATAGTGTCCAACTACAACTAAAAAAAAAATATTTTTTAAAAAAGAGTACCTTCTTGGTCTAGGGATGTAGCTCAGGGGCAGAGCACTTGCCTACCATGTGTGAGGCACTGGGTTTGATCCTTAGCACCATTTAAAAATAAAATAAATAAAATAAAGACATGCTGTCCATCTACAACTACATTTTTTTTAAAAGAGTACCTACCTGTGCTACTTTTTATTATTTTTTTTAGTTATAGATGGACATAATACCTTTATTTTTATGTGGTGAAGATTGAATCCAGTGCCTCATATGTGCTAGGTGAGTACTCTACCACTGAGCCACAAATCCAGCCTTGTATTACCTTTTTGTAGTCCTTTGTATGATGGGTGACAGACCAGACCTAACATATCTGAAATTCTAGCAAGTCCTCCACTAGAAAACCTTTAATTTCCTAGACAATAATGCTTATGATGTTTAAGGGTCAATCTTGAAATTCTGTCTTTAAGATGAAATCATCCCCAAACCAGTTTTTATAGTGCTGGGATGGGATGGAACCCAGATGTTTGCCACTGAGCTACATTCCTGGCCCTTTCTTATTGTTTTGGAACAGGGTTTCACAAAAGTTTCAAGATTGGTCTTGAACTTATGATCCTCCTGCCTCAGGCTCCAAGTAGTTGGGATTACAGGCAACCCTCTTCATCTTCTACAAGGTTATATTCAGTACTCTTGTTCCCCATCAAGATTATTTAATCTTGGGGCTGGGGTTGTGGCTCAGCAGTAGAGCGGTAGTCTTACACGCGAGGCACCCTGGGTTCAATCCTCAGCACCATGTAAAAAATAAATCAGTAAAATAAAGGTATTGTGTCCAACTATAAAATAAATATTTTAAAAAGATTAATCTTATTAGTACATACTTTTTGTATATTTCATTTCTGTGTGTTAATGACCTTGAAAGAACAACAATTTTGGGGTAATGCACCTGCTTAGCATGCATAAGGTGGGGAGGTGGGGGGGTGGGGGGGTGTCGGAGTGGGTGCTTTAAAGATGGTTCTTCATTAATAAGTTGGATCCTAAACCTTAACCAGACTAGAAACTCTTTGAAAACAAACTATGACTGTCAAACTTTTTTTTTTTTTTTTCTGACAGTGTTTGATATTATGTGGACATTAGATCAATGATTCCCAATGTTTCCATTCAAAACACCAATTAAAACACACAGACACGGTCTGGGGTTGTGGCTCGGTGGTAGAGCGCTTGCCTTGCATATGAGAGGCACTGGGTGTGATTCTGAGCACCACATATCAAATAAAGAAAAAAGGTCCATTGACAATTCAAACAAACAAAAAAGACCACATACACCTTCTGCAAAGTTTAGTACAAAGAAGTGCAATACCAAAATGTTTGACTCAATTTTTCACAACTGAACACATTCAAGTAGCTCCCATAAGACTCAATGCAAATCAGAACCTCAGAAACCCCATTTTAATAATTTATTTATTTTTAAAATTACCCTGATTACTTCTTTATTTTTTTGAGAGAGAGGGGGGGGGATAGGGAGGGAGAATCTTTTAATATTTATTTTTTAGTTCTCGGCGGACACAACATCTTTGTTTGTATGTGGTGCTGAGGATCGAACCCGGGCCGCACGCATGCCAGGCGAGCGCGCTACCGCTTGAGCCACATCCCCAGCTCCGTTTTAATAATTTACATGCAGTAATTATAGATGTAAGAAAAGTAAAAATATATAAAGTAAAAATATGTATTTCTAGACTTTTTATGTCTACTCCATCAGCGGGCCCAACGACCTCCCACCATATGTATACATTCTTACCCGCTACCCCTGACTGAAGACCACTGAAATGGGGTGGTTCTTTTTTTTTTTTTGGTGTGTTTTTGATGTGTGTGTGGGAGTGGTGGAAATGAATGTATGGAAACATAAACCTACCACACCTCCAATGAAAAAGGTGTTAGTACCAAACTGTAAAGGAACTAGTGGTCGTTTTAAAAAGACGTAAGCGCAGTACTAACTGCGTTATCTTAGCCTATGTCCGCCCTCAGGACTCATTTCCTACTGTTCAACATGGCCGCATGCGCGTCTCTAAGCAACATGGCCGCTCTGCCAGGCACCAACATGGGAGGCACAGCTTCATGGCGCCCGGAAGCACAAAAGAGCCCTCACAAGGCATATATCTGCTATTCTGTCAACACCTAAAGTGGCTTTAATTACAACTTCCGCACCTGACCGCGAAACCGGAAGTGGCCTTTCGACTTGTGATTCTCCAGGGATTTGTTTCCGGTTAGTCTTCGGGTGTCCGCGTGAGAATTGAATGTATCTTCCAGCAAGGGCTGGGAGGTGCTAGTCCGCCGCGCCTGATTCGAGTGAGTCCGGGCTGCGAGACCAGGATGTCGGACACGTGGAGTTCTATCCAGGCCCACAAGAAGCAGTTGGACTCGCTTCGGGAGAGACTGCAGCGGAGGCGGAAACAGGACTCGGGGCACTTGGGTGAGGCGCGGGGCAGTCGGGGGCCAGGTTTGGCCAGGGAGGGAGGGAGAGGGCCCTGGAGAAAAACACAGCTCCGGAGTCAGCGTCCTTACCCAGCGGCTGTTTCTCTGATGCCTCATACATTGGCATCCTTCTCTCCCCTTCAGCCACACAGACCGTCATTCTCCTGCAGGCAGTTCGCACTTCCTCTCCACCCCGGGCCTTGTTCCTCTAGCTAACCAACCGAACCGACGCGGGATATCTTCCCTCGTCCAACTTCCCACTCCTCTTAAGTCTGGAGAATATCGCCTTTGCGAGGTCCTTTAGTCTTCTGTCCCGCGTAGTACCAAGCCCCCCCTTTTGTTGCTACTATGGTGCTTTGTTCTTCCTTCGGTTATAGAGAGACTGCACGAAAGCGATCGTTTCTTTTTGACCATAGGCACAGTGAGCAGGACTGTGCTCACTTTCATCCACTGTGCCCACAGTTAAGTGGCCCGCACAGGGTACTCTCTCACTAGGTAGGTGTTGCTAAAAGAGTAGGGAAACTGACATTTACAGAGCGAGCAAGAATCTGAAAACATTCAGTTTTTGGTTTTCAAAATTTCTCCTTTCCTGCTTATGACAGTCATGACTTGCAGTAACTTGAACTTGAAGTAAATGGAGATTTTCAAGTTCAACCCTAATTTTCTTCCATCCCCAGCGCAGACCTTAAATTACTTAAGGCAAATCAATTGCAGAGTTCTGTGTAGATAGTGAATTCATACCACCTTGTGGCAGTTTGTTCCATTTTATATCAGTATTGTCAACTCCATCTTTAAATCTTGCTTTGATTAGGTTCAAGTACTCATATTCTGCTACCTAGATCAGAAGATGTACTGGCAGGATTTTCACACCATGATTAATATTGCATAATTAATTAATATTACAGTGTTTTCATGAGTCTAGTTAGATAAAAATAAGATGCTGCCCTCAAGGAGTTTAAAATATAGTTGAGAATCAAGGATAGATACTAATAAAAAGTCAGAAGCAAACATGCAATCCCAGCAAATCGGAAGGCAGAGGTAGAAAAATTGAAAATTTAAGGCCTGCCTGGACAATTTAGGGAGACCCTGACTCAAAAAATAAAAAGGGCTGGGGATGTAGCTCAGTGGTAGAGTGCCTCTGGATTCTCTCTCTTAGTACTGGAAAAGTAAGAAACACAGTATCATATGTAAGATTCAAATGAATGGATCCAAGCTATATAGTTAAGAAAGAATAAGATCTAGTATAGACAGTGAAGCCATTATAGTGAAGTTGGCACTTCAGTTGGTTTTGGGCTATGTAGAACTTACATTTTTATTATTTATTTACTTACTTTTTTTTTGGTGATGCTGGGGATTGAACCTAGAGCCTTCCTTGTACATTTGAGGCAAACACTCTACCAACTGAGCTATATCCCTAGTCCTTACTGTCTTATTTTTTAATAAAAAGTAAGAGGGCAGTATAGTAAAGGAAGAAGTGCAGACATAGGATGTGGGAATAAGTAGTAGTCAAGCTTTAGAGTAGTTACTGAATTCCCATGTTAGTATATAAACTTGAGTATCTCTGACTGGTAAATCCAGTTTACTCTGTGTTTTGTTTTTTTCTTGTTTTTGTATTCATTGTTTTCCCATTTTTAAAAATCTTTTTCCTTTCTTTTTTTATTTATGATACTAAGGATTGTACCCAGGACCATTTTATCTCTAAACTATATCCTCAGCTCCCTCCCCGCTTTTTTAAAAATATTTTTTGGTTATGAATGGACCTTTATTTTTTTTGTTTATATATGGTGCTGAGAATCGAACCCAGTGCTTCACACATGCTAGGCAAGTGCTCTACCACTGAGCTACAACCCTTTTTATTTCTGTTTTGAGACAGTGTCTTGCTAAGTTGCCCAAGCTGCCCTCTAACTGGCCGTCCTCCTGCCTCAGCCTGCCAAGTAGATGGAATTACAAGTGTTCACCACTTCTTAGGCTCCCTAGTTTCTTTTATTCGTATTAATTTTATGAAGAAAATGATGCTTAATTTTACATTTTTTGTTTTTATTTTTGTACTGGAGATTGAACTCAGGTATTCAAACACTGAACCGCATCCCAAGCCCTATTTTGTATTTTATTTAGAGACAGGGTCACTGAGTTGCTTAGCATCTTGCTTTTGCTGAGGCTGATTTTGGAATTATGATCCTCCTCTCTCATCTACCGAGCCACTGGGATTACAAACGTGCCACCACACCTAGCTCCAGCTCTTTTTAATTTTACTTATTTATTTATTTTGATACTGGGAATTGAACCCAGGGGTACCTAACCACTGAGCCGCACCCACAACCCTTTTTATTTTTTTTATATATATATATATATATATATATATATATAATTTAGTTGCAGTTGGACATAGTACCTTTATTTTATTTATTTATTTTTATTTGGTGCTGAGGATTGAACCCAGCACCTTGCATGTGTTAGGTGAGCGCTCTACCACTGAGCCACAAATCCAGCCCCCTTTTTATTTTTTGAGACAGAATCTTGCTAAGTTGCTTAGGGCCTCACTAAGTTGCTGAGGCTGGCCTCAAACTTCTGATTCTCCTGTTTTAGCCTCTCAGGTTGATGGGATTGCAGGTGTGTGCCACCAAGCCTGGCCCTTAGCGCTGTTTTAAAACTATTTTGAAATAGGCCTTGAACCTGTGATACTCCTGCCTCAGCTTCTCAGGTAGCTGGGATTATAGGCATGTGCCACCATACCCTGCTAATATTTCCGGTGAGAAAATTTGCCCGACCACTTTAAAATTTTAACGTGATGAGAAAATCATGTATGAGCAAACAGGGTTTCTGATATATATATATATATATATTTATATATTTTAAATCTTTATTTTATATTTATGTGGTGCTGAGGATTGAACCCAGTGCCTCATGCATGCTAGGCAAGCACTCTATCTCTGAGCCACAATCCCAGCCCAGGGTTTCTGTTATTCTAACATTCCCTTATTTACTAGTTGCATGCAAGCTCACTTGTGTTGAAAAAAACACTTTGTAGAGAAACAGATTGTATGTAGGTGATGTATTAAATAAGTCAGAGAAACACCTGTTCTGTAGAGGGGTTTTGTGCCTGCCAAAGACCTTCAAGTGTTCATCAGGTATGCAGCACTGAGATGTAGGCTGTATGAGTGAGTTGCTTTATTAGCAGAAAAGAAGGGCTAATATTCCATTCTTGTTATAACTAGAAACTCAACAATTACCATACTGCATTTGGGCACTATCAGTTAACTAACTTTTCAATTTAGGCATTTCTGTAAGAGGTAATACAGTCTTGTTTTGTCACCTCTCCATATTTTCCACTTAGAGAACCCATCACTATTTTAGTCCCCTGAGCCTCTTTTGCAGCATAGAAGAATGTGACAGCCTTGGGTAAGTACATTTCTTCTATGGATATTTACTAACTTTAGTATGAAATAATTTTTTTTTTCATTTAGCAATAGCAGTTGGGAAAAGATACCTGAGAATTCAAGTAGTCAATTCTACAAAGTGACCTACAATGTTAATTTTTATAGACTATTAAATCAGTGTATTGTATTAATGTATTAATGTACTTTTTGTGTAGTTCTGTCTCTTTCATTTTTTTTTATGACAAGTCATCCTCTATATTTGGTTTGTTTTATGGTTTTAATTGTTCTTCACCATACCTTTTTATGCTGTTTCTATTTCTAAATGCATACTCTTTAGATGAATGCATACTCTTTAGATGAATGAATGAATCTTTTTTCTTTTTTTATTTTTTGCAGTGCTGGGGATCAAACCCAGTTCTTGATCATGCCAGATAAGTGCTCTACCACAGAGCGACATCCCCAGCCCTACGTGGATGATTCTAATTGCTCCGAGTTATTTTAAATTATATTTTATTTTTCTTTTATATTAATCACATTTTGGTATCAACCAAACTTAGAGCCTTGGTACTTTCATCCAGTGCTAACCTGTTTAATCATTTTAAACTGTATTCTCCCTTGAATGTAAATATTCTTTTTCAGAGGTAAATATTTTGACTTGTATCTTTTGGAACCTTGTAGATTCCAAAAGAATTTTTTAGGTTGAAATTAAACAGATATTATTTCCTGACCCAGAACTTTGACCCATTTTGGGGGGTTGTATGGGAATACGTAGGGATGAAATATAAATTAATCAGTGTGTCACTGTCCTCTTTGTTTTGCTTATTCCGAAGTGTATATTTCTTTGGTTTTTAGGATTTTTAGGAAAACATTGTGGAACACAACTTTATTAGTTTTATTAATCACAGTTCGTTCATATAATATGTAACCAAAAGCTTGATAAAATTTAGATTATTCAGTTCTCTCACAGGAACTAAAAAATTTTCCTAACAATCGTGGCTTTGTAGTATTACTGAAATCTAATATTCAAGTAGTTATTACTAAGCTCTATGTTTAAAGACAGGGATTTTAAAAAATGAACTAAAATACATCCATATCATTAATGACTATAAAATATTATGAGCAAAGACTCATTGAAAGACTACTGTTAGCTTGGCATTTGTAATAGTATGTTTTTGTAACTCTAAATAAATATTGGACACACACTACTTTATAAGGAAAAGAGATGAGGCTGGGCATGGTGGGATATGCCTGTAATTGACATATCTCATAATTGAAAACTTGGAACCAATTGGTTAAGATGCAGATACACAGATGTTCCAGCCAATAACCTGTGCTTTGCTATTTGATATTCCAGTCTCCAAAATTGTGAGCAATAAACCTCTTTCCCTCCATCCCTCTCTTCCTTCCTTCCTATCTTCCCTTCTCTAAAACTGTGAGCTAAATAATTTCTCCTTCTTCAGCACTAGGAATTGAACATGGGCATTCTACCTTTGGACAATACCACCAGGCCTTTTAATCTTTTATTTTGAGACAGAGTCTAAGTTGCTGAGATTGGCTTCAGACTTGCAATCCTCCTGCCTCAGGCTTCCAAGTCACTTGGATTACAGACACACACCATCATGCCTGGCTATCATTTCTTTCTTTTTGTGGGGAGAGGTTAGTAGGTATTGAACCTAGTGCACTTTACCACTGAACTATATCCCCGAGTCCTTTTTTTTTTTTTTTTTAGTATTTATTTTTTAGCTGTACACAGTACCTTTATTTTGTTTATTTATTTTTATGTGGTGTTGAGGATTGAACACAGGGCCTCACGCATGTCAGGCGAGCGCTCTACCGCTGAGCCACAACCCCAGCCCTATCCCAAGTCCTTTTTATTATTATTTTATTCTTCCTTTTTTTTCCTTTTGTTTTAAGTCACCTCCTTCCCCAACCCTCTGAGTTATCCTGGTGTTCCAACCTCACATATTTCCCTAAAGCTTGGGACTTTTAGGCCCTGTCTACTGGTCTTCTGTTATCTGCCTTCCACCACCCAGTGGGTGAGCCACTGGCAAGATTCAAGGGCCTAAGTCTGGATCTCCAGAGAGTACTGCAGGCTGCTCCCCGACTTCCCAGAAATCGCCAAGTTGCAATTGAATCTCTCAGGCACCATTAGTTCCTGTTCTGTCATAACCACAGTGATCTGAGTTCAGAACAAGTGATCAGATCTATTAAAACCATTTGATGGCCCTTGTCTTATTCCCAGGGCCTTTGCTTGCTTCCTTAGGGCAGTCTCCATACTAGCAGTGGTGCATTTGTCCTTGGGATTTCTGGCACCTGTTTCTTTTCCCCTACTCCTCAGCCATAGACTTTAGGCCAGGTTTTGCTCTCCCGTAGCCTCTGGCTCTCAAGGGCCCAACAGACAGTGATTTTGAAAGAAAGTGGGCACAATCCCAGCAATTTGAGAGGCTGAGGCAGGAAAATTTCAAGTTTGAGGCCAGCCTCAGCAACTTAATGAGATCCTATCTCAAAAATTAAAAAAGGGCTGGGGCTGGGGTTGTGACTCAGTGGCAGAGCACTTGCTTAGCATGTGTGAGGCACTGGGTTCAGTTCTCAGCATTGCATATAAATAAATAAAGGCCTGTTTACAACTAAAACAAGTCAAAAAAAAATTAAAAAGGGCTGGGCATATGGCTCAGTGGCAAAGAGTCCATGGGTTCAGTCTTCAATACCAAAAAAAAAAAAGAAAGAAAGTGGAGTCAGAGAGCCCACAAACCTACCAGGGTCACTCAGAGCAGGGGGAGTGGAAAGAGTAGCAGAGTTAGCCCTGGGCTGCTGCCCTGGCTACCAGAAGCCAGCATGACCTGCTAATCCCTTAGTTTTTATTTTGAGACAGGTTCTCACTAAATTGCTGGTGCTGTCCACCTCCTGGCTACCATTTCTTTATACTGAATACTTTCAAAATCCTTTTTTTCTAGCTTTTATGAAGCATATTTTGTTCATTAACTATAGTTGGATATTTGGTTACTTCCATCTTTTGGCTATGGTAAACAGTGCTGCTTTGAATCAGGGGGTATGAATATTTCTTCAAGTTCCTACTTTAAGTTTGGGGGGTAGGTATCCAGAAAAAGTGGATTTGCTAGATCAAATGGTAATTACATTTTTAAATTTTTTGAGTAATCACTATGCTATTTTCCACAGCATATTTTATATATCACTAATAGTGCACAAGAGGCCAGGTGTGGTCGTGCATATCTGTAATCCCAGTGACTTGGGAGGTTGAGGCAGGAGGATTGCAAGTTCAAGGCCAACCTGAGCAACTTAGTTAGACTCTGTCTCAAAATAAAAAATTTTAAAAAGGACTGGGATACCTCAGTGGTAGAGCACCTGTGGGTTCAAAACTCTGGCACCAAAAAAACTTGAGAGGGCTGGAGTTGTGGCTCAGTGGTAGAGTGCTTGCCTTGCATGTGTGAGGCACTGGGTTCAATTCTCAGCACTACGTATAAATAAATTCATAAATAAAGTAAAAGTCCATCAACAATTAAAAAAAAAAAAAACTTGAGGAAAAAAAGCTAAATCCTGGGCACAGATGTGTACACCTGTTATCCCAATGACTCAGGAAATCAAGGCAGGAGGCTCATGAGTTCAAGATCCTTGCTGCAAGGTGGCACATGCCTGTAATCCCAGCAGCTCTGTAATCCCAGCAGCTCTATACTCCCAAAGGTTTGGGGCTGAGGCAGGAGGAGCACGAGTTCAAAGCCAGGCTTAGCAATTTAATGAGGCACTTAGCAACTCCGTGAGACTCTGTCTCTAATAAAATATAAAAAAATGGGCTGAGGATGTGGCTCAGCGGTTAAGCATCCCTGGGTTCAATGCCCAGTACCAAAAACAAAAAAAACAAAAAAAAAGGAACCCCAAGAGGATTGGGATGGGGGGCAAGGTCAGAATTTGGTCCTAGACTAACTTTTTACTATACTTCTACCATAGGAATATTTTAATTCAAATTTAAATTTTTAGACTCGTAGGATCTTTGAAGAAACTAATAATCACCAGTGTAATTCTGTCCAGTGAAGGAATTTTGTTTATACTCTGTTAAGTGTGCTAATAGCAGTTGTCACATTTCTTACATATATTTTTAGCTTAGGTCAGTTATTCTGAAACTCTTTTCTCATCCAGACCTTCAAAGTGCTTCTGTGACCCTTCCATGTATACAGCACCTCTTTGACAAAACAAAACAAGGAATTTAGTTCTGTTTGCAAAAGTTCCAGTCTAAGATTCAGCAGAACATAAAGGAATCATAAGCAAGGTGAAGAAAGTTCTATCAATTACTTGACAGTTGCAGCTGATATTGAATTGTGGCATCTTGTTTTTCAAATAGAGTACAACTTTTTTTAACCTTATTTTTTTTATAAAATGTAACTGTTCTAGGAAAGTGTTGTAGTTCAACTCCAATTTTTTTGGAAATTATGAGTTAAATTTTACCAAATTCAGTTAAATCCATAAAAAATTAAAAGTCCTGCCTGAAAAAGATAATCTGTTAGCAGTTTATATTGTTGAAAGTATTTCTGACTTTTATTAAAATTTAGATTGTGGAGCTGGTTGTGGTGACACTTGCCTCTAATCCCAGGCTGAGGTAGGAGGATCACAGGTTCAAGGCTAGCCTGGGCAATTTTGTGAGGCCTTAAGCAATATAGCAAGATCTTATCTCAGAAAAGAAAAAAAAAAATTATAGATTGTGGAACTGGGTACAGTAGAGCATACCTGTAATCCCAACAACTCAGGAAGCTGTCAAAAGATTGCAAGTTTAAGGTTAGCCTGGGAAAGCTGGTGAGAACCTTTCTCAAAATAAATACAGAAGGGGATATAGCTCAGTTGGTAGAGTGCTTTCTTTGCATACACAAGGCCCTGAGTTCAATCCCCAGCACCACAAAAAATAAACAAACAAATAATACAAAGGGCTAGGGATATAGTTCAGTGCCCCCCAGCACTCAGTTTCTAATAATTCTAATTTACTTCCCTTGAAGCATAGCAAGGGCAAAGAATTAGGAAAATAGTTCTTATTCAACAGTGAAAGTATAGGGGATTTCCTGAAAAATCCAGGATTATTTTGACAAAGTAGTGAATGCTCAAGTATGAAGGGTAATCTAGTGCTAAAGCTAGTCTGAGAATTTTCTGCATGAAATGAAAGATATGTATGCTGGGAATGGTAGCAAATTTGACTCCTGAAGAATTCATGGTCTGCAGTAGTTATTCTTTTTTATTTTTACTTTTCTTCACTCTTAGATCTGCGTAATCCAGAGGCAGCACTGTCCCCAACCTTCCGTAGTGATAGTCCAGTGCCTACTGCACCCACCTCTGGTGGTCCTAAGCCAAGCACAGCTTCAGCAGTTCCTGAGTTAGCTACAGACCCCGAGTTGGAGAAGAAGTTGTTACATCACCTCTCTGATCTCACCTTAACATTGCCCACTGATGCTGTATCCATTCGTCTTGCCATCTCCACGGTAATGACTTAATACAACTGGAATATACCACTTATTTCCTGTTCATGGTCAGTGTGTAATTGCCCTCTTCTCCCTTCCTACTCTAGCCAGATGCCCCTGCCACTCAAGATGGGGTGGAAAGCCTCCTACAGAAGTTTGCAGCTCAGGAGTTGATTGAGGTGAAGCGAGGTCTCCTACAAGATGATGCACATCCCACTCTTGTGACCTATGCTGACCATTCCAAGCTGTCTGCCATGATGGTTGCTGTGGCAGAAAAGAAAGGCCCTGGGGAGGTAGGAGGGACTATTGCAGGGCAGAAGCGGCGTGCAGAACAGGACTCTGCTACAATAGCTGCCTTTGCCAGCTCTTTAGCCTCTGGCCTGATCTCTTCAGCATCAGAACCAGCCAAGGAGTCAGCCAAGAAATCAAGAAAACATGCTGCCTCAGATGTTGATCTGGAGATAGAAAGTCTTTTAAACCAACAGTCTACTAAGGAACAACAGAGCAAAAAGGTAAGAGTCTTATCAAAGTACTATTACAATATGCTCTGAATTATATATAGCTTTGAATGAGCAGGATTTACTCCTACAGAAAGGTTCAGTCAGAATTGAGGATTGAGAGTAGTGGTTTTCAACTAAGGATGGTTTTACCCCATCCTTACCCCCCACCAAAAACATTGACAATATTTGGAGATATTTTTGTAATCACAACATGAGAGTGTGCTACTGGCTTCTGGAAGGTTGAGGCCAGTGATGTTGCTAAATATGCTACAGTGCATAGTAGGACAACCCCCTGCAATAAAGAACTGCTTGGCACAAAATGTTATTAATGCCAAGTCAAGAAACCCTGATTTAGAGAATCTGTAATTGCATCTGTTTGGATCATTAGATCAAGAGACAAGTAATCCAAATATATGAATATTGGATGATATTCATTGGATAGCAATTACAGAAATTGATTAAAACAGTGCAAAGTAGCAGTATAGCAATTTTGAGTTCTCATCTGTTTACTACTTCTAGTTGTATGAGTTTGAACAAGTTAACTTCTCTTAAGCCTTAGTTCTCTTATCTGTAAAATGAAGATAACCACAGTACCCTCCTTTTTTAGTACTGTTGAATTGATTAGGAGTAAACAGTATAGTATTAGCATTATGCCTTGGCTCAGTACTCAATAAGTACAAGTGTTTGAGTTTTTGTTTTCCTGTGGAAAACAAGTTTAGCTTAATGCATAGCAGTAGGAATCAAGCTTTTTGTATTTAAAAAAAAATTTTTAAAGATACTGATGGACCTTTATTTTATTCATTTATTTGTATGTGGTGCTGAGAATCGAACCCAGTGCCTCACACATGCTAGGCAAGTGCTCTACCACTGAGCCACAACCCCAGCCCACCCCCCTTGTAGTTTTACTGTATCCTAAATGCAGGTTTGAGGAAGAACTGAACCCATGACAGATCTCTTATCCCAGAGCTCAACTTTTCCCAGGTTATTAGCTCATTTATCCTTTAAGACATCAATATCAAATAGAATTTTTTAAGAGTTGATTTGACTTACAGACTCTTATGACTAAGTCTGCTTCTGTTATAGGTCAGTCAGGAGATCCTAGAGCTATTAAATACTACAACAGCGAAGGAACAGTCCATTGTTGAAAAGTTTCGTTCACGAGGTCGGGCCCAAGTACAAGAATTTTGTGACTATGGGACCAAGGAAGAGTGCATGAAAGCCAGTGATGCTGATCGACCTTGTCGCAAGCTACATTTCAGGTCTCTTGGGAGGGAATGAGGAGGGATGGATTTCCCACAAGGAGTCATTCCTTTTCAACATATTCCTTGTCTTTGGGTTTATCAGTAGTCCTATGGTTTCTGGTTTGTCTAAGTCCTCCAGACTCTTAAGGTGGCATGATATGGATATAGACTATATACTCCCAAATAGATGGGAAATTTTTTAAGTGCCCCCTTTTAGCAAGACCTCTCTTTGTCTCTTGAGCCACAAAATTAGTTTCTGAAAGGAGGATGATCACAGGAGAAATGGGAACCTAGGGTCTTAAACCAGTGTTTTATTCTGCTCTATAACAAGCCAAATCCTTTTTGGACTGTTTTCCTTCATAAAGTAGGAGAAGGAAGCTGAGTTCTTGTTCAGAGAGGAATTATAATTATTCTTTAGTGTGAATTATGGATTTCCATGCCACCTGCCTCTACTCTTAATTCTTGGAGGAATCTCTAAAACTAGAGAAAATTAGGGAAGTGTTTTTTTTTTTTTTTTTAAAGCAAGATTTGGTATAACTTGGAACTTTAACTGCTTCTACTTCTGGAGTACCATCTTGATTATTTCCCCTTTTTATTTCCCCAGGCGTATTATCAATAAACACACTGATGAATCTTTAGGTGATTGCTCTTTCCTTAACACATGTTTCCACATGGATACCTGTAAATATGTTCACTATGAAATTGATGCTTGTGTGGATCCTGAGGGTCCTGGCAGCAAGGACCATACACCAAGCCAGGAGTTTGCTCTTACACAGAGTGTTGGAGGTGACTCCAGTGCAGATCGACTCTTTCCACCTCAGGTATTTGCATGCTTAGAAAACTCAATTTTGACTTAATGGACTTCTGTCTCAATAGTACAGTCATACATGTAGGAAAGAGGGCATAATTTAGCAACTTGTCTTGCTGGTTGGAAATGAAGTGGGATAGATATAAGGGAGTAGAAAATCAAAAGGAAAAGGGATGGGACCATGAATTTAAGAGTGAAGGAAGGGAAGATGACCAAATGCCACCTCACGCAGTGGATCTGTTGTGATATCCGTTACCTGGACGTCAGTATCTTGGGCAAGTTTGCAGTTGTGATGGCTGACCCACCCTGGGATATTCACATGGAGCTGCCCTATGGGACCCTGACAGATGATGAGATGCGCAGGCTCAACATTCCAGTACTGCAGGATGATGGCTTTCTCTTCCTCTGGGTCACAGGCAGGTAATGCAGCTCAAAGATATGTAGTTATGAGCAGATATAGTACGGTGAGTACTGGGTTTCCTAGCCCTGCTATTAAATATATGACTGATTTAGACCTTCTTAAGACTTATTTATTTATAACACAAATGATACTATGAATCATTTAACTCTGAATTTGCACCTTGAGAAAGGTAATGTCTTATTAGTACTTTTACTTTTTCATTCTTGGATCCACCTTGTTGCTCAGATGGTATCTGTATCTTGCATGTAAATGGTTCACTGAATATCTACTGGGGAAAAAAAAGTTTTGTTTTTATTTTTTTCAGAATAAGGATGCTTTACCATTGTGTTACATTCCCAGCCTTTTTATTTATTTATTTTCCAAGACCGGATCTTGCTAAGTTGTGGTCCTTCTGCCTCAGCCTCCCAAGTTGGTGGGATAATAGGCATGCAGCACCATGCCCAGCAAAAAAATTTCTGATCTTAAAAAGATATTTTGAAGGGAGAGAAAAATCAGGGCATACAAGTAATTAATCGTTATTTCTTTTTAGAGCCATGGAGTTGGGCAGAGAATGTCTTAACCTCTGGGGGTAAGTAGCAATTGTGTTGCTTTAAGGGAAATTAATACTTGTTATGTTGTGAGGTAATGTGTTCCCTGCTCCCCAGAATATAGCTGATTCCTTGCCTTTATAGATAATACTGTCCTTAAAACTATAAAAGTCTGATTAAAACTTTAGTTGTCTTATGCCTCATAGTTATGAACGGGTAGATGAAATTATCTGGGTGAAGACAAATCAACTGCAGCGCATCATTCGGACTGGCCGTACAGGTCACTGGTTGAACCATGGGAAGGAGCACTGCTTGGTGAGCAGCAGTAGGGTCCTATTCAATAAGAGGAATTGATTTTCTCTATAGAGAAAAAGTTGAAAAATGTAATTTCATAAGGTAATCCTGTTCTCTGTGGTGAGCAGGTTGGTGTCAAAGGAAATCCTCAAGGCTTCAACCAGGGTCTGGATTGTGATGTGATCGTAGCTGAGGTATGTGCTTCCTGAGGCATCCACATCTTTCACATTTACATTATCATTCATGTCAGGTGTATTTTCACCCTAAGTTTTTCTCATATGGATCATAAACATGACAGGGCTAGAACTACAATCTTGGGTAACTTAAAAAGTAGCTATTGATGTCTTTATTTTTTAGGTTCGTTCCACTAGTCATAAACCAGATGAAATTTATGGCATGATTGAGAGACTGTCCCCTGGCACTCGCAAGATTGAGTTATTTGGACGGCCACACAATGTGCAACCCAACTGGTAAGATGACTGGAGAACAAGCTAGCCCCCAAGGTGCATACTGTTTATAAAGAAGGACAGAAATCAACGTGAGCTTCACATCCATTCTGGTAGTTCGTAATGGGCTTCAAAGGATTTAAGTAGCTTAAGCTTGTACTCTAATACTAACTGGAAACCCAACAGTTTCTAGGACCCAAGGTACTATTCTCTCCACTCACAGTGCTTGAATCTGTTTATATGTGCTGTATTAAATCTGCCCCCTGGTGGCTACTAAGAATCTATTCACTCTGTCAACAGTAGTAATATCTTCTGTTCCTTTAAAAAACATGCTGTTTGTGTTTTATTTACCCAAGGAGTACTCACTGGCAGCAGCAACTTTGTGAAGCAAGCTTGGCTAGGCATCAGTTAGTAACCCTTTGATAATACACATCCTGCTTTTATGTTTTGTTTATTTATTTGGGGGGGTACCTGGGATTTAACTCAGGTACTGAGCCACATCCTCAGCCCTTTTTTTTTTTTTTTTTTTTTGTATTATACTTAGAGACAGGGTCTCATTGAGTTGCTTAGTGCCTCACAGCTGCTGTGGCTGGCTTTGAACTCATGATCCTCCTGTCTCAGCCTCCCAAGCTGCTGGGATTACAAGCGTGCACCACCACACCCGGCATATCCCCCGTTTTAACGTCAGCATCCGTGCCAATACTTAACTAGTCATGCTACCATATGCTCTTCTGGTGTTATGGTCTTTTAAAATGAACTGACATGGGATAAAAGGCAGTCTTAATAAAACATCTGCATCTTTTAATAATAAAGCCCTTTAATTCCAGGATTTCTGTTTGACATGTTTCAGGATCACCCTTGGAAACCAACTGGATGGGATCCACCTACTAGACCCAGACGTAGTTGCACGGTTCAAGCAAAGGTATCCAGATGGTATCATCTCTAAACCTAAGAATTTATAGAAGCACTTGCTTACAAGGTTAAGCACCCAGAGCCATGACTTTGTAGGCTACACCTGAAGAATTGTATTTGTACAATAGCTTTTCCCCTTATTTAAATAAAGGTTTGTATTATAATTAGGATTTTGAGGTGAAATTCTGGCTTTATTACTTAACTGTGTGTTCTTGTACAAACTCATATCTCAAGTATAATTTCTTCTAAGTGAAATAGCAATGTTATCTATCTCATTAGGTGATTGTAAGGGTTTTAAACTTAAACTGATTGCATGGAAAGCACAGACATGTTGATCATTAAAAAACAAGGTCTGTACAGAATCAAGTGATTAGCAATTAGTGATTCTTATCCAACCATGGTTGAATAAGGAGGTTCTCTAGGAAAGTATTTTTCAAGTTAAATAAATTTGAGTTTACTTAAGACCATCACCACTAGGGCTGTTATGCTCTAAACTTTTACTTATTGTTACAATTGTGTAGTTTTGCTCATCTATTATTCTATAGTTTATTTCCAAGAAAAATCAAGTAAGTTCATCTTAGGAAGTGCCAAGAGTATACAGAGAATTGACCTACATTATGCAAATGAAAACACTGCTGTTCTAACTTTTATCTGATAATAGAACATTTTAAAAAAGGCTTTGGTGAAGCCTCTTATGATAATTTAAGGGTGGGGTCTCCCTATTCAAGTTTTGATAACAAGTCAGATGAGGAAGGCTGTTGACTGCAGAAAATTTGTAAAGAAAAATAAACTCTTGGGTGATGCCATTTTCTCTATAGCTCAATGTGCCTACTGTGCTGAAAACTTTTGTCAAAGCAGTGTAATGATATATTAGTAATGCTATCTCTTATTCATCCCCTGCTTTTGGGGGGAATGCTGAGGATTGAACCTCTCTACTACTGAGCTTTTCCCCCAATCCCTCTTAAAATGAATGCACACAGTGGTGTTTTCTCCTAGCATCAAGATTGAATAATTCTCCCATCATTTTAATTATATTTTAGGCAAGTTCTATGACAATTACATCAGAGTTTCTCTAAGCACCCATACCACCACCCATATAACCCCTATGATTTGCTTATCCATACTCCTTTTGCCCTTTGCTTTGCTGTTTTCCTGATATTTCTGCTTATAGTTAAAAGTAAAGAGTAATTCCAGAATACAGCAAACTCCGTGGCCCTGCTCTGTAACTTGGTCTCTGCTAAAGGAAGGAAAAGGGGATAAAGCATGAAGGACCATCAAAGCTTGATCAGGCACTACCAGAAGCCAAGCTTGAGTTTCAAAACAGACTCTTGGAGTTGTTCCCAGTATATAGATCTTCACCGGCTTGGAGTACAACAAGAAAGACTATTTCACAAACACCACAGTGTTTGAATTTCTAGAGGCTACCCAGGCCAAGAATACATCCCTAAGAGAGAAAAAGAAAACACAAACTTAGAATTACAACCTATATAGGTTCATTTTAACATTCTTAAACAAATACGTCCCCAGGTAATTTATTGCAGTATCAAAGTGAGATAGTACACTTTTTAAATCTGAGGTAGAGGCAACGTTAATCTACTGTAAAGGACTTGAGATAAGATATACAAATGCCTTGTTTTGTTGATATATAGGTAATTCTCAAAAAGTTTGGGTAGAGAGCAGAACTGTTTACTCCCTCACACTGAGCACCTTGTTATGCTACTTTCCAATTCCCTAAATGGGGAATTTGCAGTAAGGATTGTGAATCTTAATTCACAATCACTTACCAGCTTAATGTGTCATCTTTCTTTATTTTTTAACCTCCCTACCCCCTGTACTAGGGATTGAATCCAGGGGTGCTTAACCAGTGAGCCGTATCCCCAGCCCTTTTTTACTTTTCTTTTTTTAAATTTATTTTTTAGTTTTAGGTGGACACAATATCTTTATTTTACATTCATGAAGTGCATGCATGCATATTAGGCAAGCATGATACCCCAGGCCCCCATCTTTTACTTTTTATTTTTATTTTTTTGTGATGCTGGCAATTGAACCCAGGGCCTGTGCATGCAAGGCAAGCACTCTACCAACTGAGGTATATCCCCAGCCCTTATTTTTTATTTTTAGACAATCTTGCTAAGTTGTTGAGGCTGGCTCTAACCTGTGATCCTCCTGCCTCAGCCTCCTGAGTTGCTGGGATTCTAGGTGTGTGCCACTGCACCCAGCTAAATCATCTATTTTTAATGAACATACATTCTATAAAGTGTGAATTATTAATTATGTCCTCTGGCTGTGTGGCAAAGGCAACTTTTTTGAGGGTCAGTGCTAGAGTTGAACCTAGGGCCTCTTGCTAGTTAAATACAATACAAGTTACATCATCAGTCCTAAGTTTAAACTTTTTAAAGCAAGGGAACTTTTCTAGTAGCCTTTCATCAGATATAGCAGCCTACAGTCCATTAGGTAAGATAATGCTGATAATATGTTCAATATTACCATGTTTTCCACCACAGGAACTGTAAACTCACCTGCAGTGTTTCACCACACACTCATTGCTGCAGTATTCATTGTCCCAATCCTTACTCACAACGGGAGGGTTCTCACAACCAGACCTTACACAGCGAGGCTGGGGTGACAGTGTCACAGGAGACCCACTCACCAATTCAACATCCATCTGAGAAGGAGATTCGACCTATGACAAGAAGAGAGCAACAAGATGAATCAGATTCCTACTTGCCTGCCAGCTAGCTAGTCAAATTATCCCTAGGATCCAATGAGTAAAATATGTTCTTTATAGGGTTAAAGTTCCAGAAAAAGGTGAGTTTGTGGTATCCCCATTTATAGAGCTTTGCAAAGAATGAAGATTCTCCTCAATAGGGGAAGGCTGGGCATAGGCTAATGCTAGTGTTAATGTAACTCATCACTGATTTTTTCTTTTTGGGTACTGGGGATTGAACTTAGAGGCACTTGACCATATCCCCAGCCCTATTTTGTATTTTATTTAGAGACAGGGTCTCAATTGTTCAGAGGCTTGCTTTTGCTGAGGCTGGCTTTGAACTCATGATCCTCCTTGCCTCAGCCTCCTGAGCCAATGGGATTACAGTTGTGCGCCTGTTTGGGTGAGCCTGGCCTCACACTTAGATGATATTCCTCTGAAAGTATCAAAATTAATATGTGAGTACAGGTTCAGTCAATCTCAACTAGTTGAGGAGGACTAAGACAAAATATATTGCTATTAGAAAAAGTGAAATTTGGAAATCCAGAGTTTCCTGTTGATAGAGTATTACTTTTTGAAATGATTATTTAATTGTAGAACCAGAGCAGAGTCTTAGACCTTCACCCAACCCCTCCCCCCCCCTTTTTTTTTTTTTTTTTTTTTGGTGCTGGTGCTAGGAACTAAAAACCCAGGGCCTCCCATGTTAGGCAAGGGCTCTACTACTGAACTATATCCCTAGCCCTCTTTGAGACTTCATGGAACCTAAGCCTTGCTCTTGCAAGGCAAGCACTCTCACTGAGTTATATTTTTAGCCTACCCCCTACATATGAAAGCATCAAGCTAAGTAATTAAGACCTAGTAGAGGGTCTGGGATTATGGCTCAGCAGTAGAGCGCCCGCCTAGCATGTGTGAGGCCCTGGGTTCGATCCTCAGCACCACATAAAAATAAAAGAGACTGTGTCCAACTACAACTAAAAAATAATATTTAAAAAAATTTTTTTTTGTAGTTGTAGATGGACAGCATGCCTTTATTTTATTTATTTTTATGTGATGCTGAGGATTGAACCCAGTGCCTCACAAGTACAAGGCAAGTGCTCTACCTCTGAGCCAAGCCCCAGCCTCTAAAAAATAATATTAAAAAAAAAAAAAGGACCTAGTAAAAGTGTAAGGACTTATAACTACAAAGTTTAGGATCCTTGGGGAGACACCTCTAAATAAGAACTATAGGTTATATAATTATTTCTTTCTCATAGAACCACGGTGTTATCTCTGCTTAACTTATGGAGTGATTTAGGACCGAATGACAATTTTTTTTTTTTTGCCCAAAACAAGATTTTGGGTGGAAGAACTCACTGCTACAGAGAACTGTCATCTGTCTGAAGGATGTTTCCTTTTTCTTTTTAATTTTATTTTGTTGATTGTTATTATACATGATAGTAAGTTACACATGACAGTCTGCAAGTCTGCAGAATGTTTCCTGCTCCAGGTTGCCAGGCATTAAATGCTAGAAGCAACTCCTACTTTTTGAAAATGCTCTTACACATTTCCATTGGTCTAAAGGAAACAATTAAAAACAGGCTTACCTCAGGAACTACATCTGTAATCATCTCACAGATGGTCTCAGGGGAGGTTGCCTCTACTGTATGGGCCTCAGGACTGCTGTTCATAGGTCGCTCAGGACTGCTTTCCACAGCTGGTGGGACTAAGGTAGTCTGCATTTTCAGAGTGGGTGGAGGCACAATCTTGCTTTGCAGAGGAGGTGGCTGTTGTTGTAAATTGATTCGAACTTTCTGAGGTGGAGGCTGTTGCATGGCCTGAAGTGGAGGAGGCTGCTGCAGAATGGTGACTTGCTGCTGAGTTGGGGGCTGAGGCATCTGTTGTAATGGAGGGGGCTGTAGTCGAGGCGGAGGCAGTTGCATAGAAGCAGCAGCTGCTGCTGCTGCCTGCAACACTGACCGAGTAACAATCTGGGCTTGCTGGCTGGGCTGGATGGTAGCTGTACTAGTTTGACCTAATTGAAGCCCCCGGGAGGTCACCACTGTGGCTGGGATAACAGTAACCATCCCTCCTTGAGACATGGTAATAGAAGAGGGCAACATCTGTTTGGTAATAATCAACTTCGTGATATTGGGCTGACCCCCAGCCCCAGAAGATGCCTGGTTTGCCACATAGGACGAAAGAGTGGAGTTAACAACGATGCAAGGCGACAGGGCAGGGGACTCTGTTGAGGCTGGTGCTGGAGATGCTGGGTCAACAGTGGCCACAGGTGGCGGTGAAGGAGTCTGTGATGGTGGCACTGGATCCAATTCCACTGTTTCTACAGTGGCCTAAAAGAAGACCAAAGCAGAAAAAGGAGGGGAAAGTAATTGAGAGATTTGCTCTTCACTGGAGGACATCCATTCTAATTACTTTTCAAGAAAAGATATAGTTTTTAAAGGAGCAGCTCTGAGTCCTCCCTTTGCTAACTTAAGTGCTAGAAATAAACTCAAAGACTGTCAAGGTTTCTAGATGTGAAATAATGGGAAAGCTATTAAATATTTTTAAAGCTTTTAATACTACTTAGTGTTGGTATTTACTTATAACCACTAACAGCTAGAAACAAATGAATAAACAAAACTTATTGGTTTAAATGTTCATTTATTCTAACTCTCTTACCTGACACTCTTGGTTGTCTTTATATGCAGCCAGAGCCTTTAGATACTCTTTTTTGGCAGCTTCAGTTTTCCTCTTATACACCTGCAAGAGAGAAACTGTTTATAAAATTCCCACACTTGGGCTGGGGTTGTGGCTCAGTGGTAGAGCACTCACTTCTCACGTGTGAGGCTCTGGGTTCAATCCTCAGCACCACATAGAAATAAATAAACAAAATAAAGATATTGTGCCCATGTATAACTAAAAAAAAATATCTAAAAAAGAAAATTCCCACACTCTTGGGCTGGAGATGTGGCTCAAGGGGTAGCGAGCTCGCCTGGATGCATGCAGCCTGGGTTCGATCCTCAGCACCATATACAAACAAAGATATTGTGTCTGCCAAAAACTAAAAAATAAATATTAAAATTTTCTCTCTCTAAAAAAAAAAAAATTCCCACACTCTTAAAAATGACTGATAATTCTGTATTATTCATCAGTGAATATAGTGAATGACAATGCATCTTGCTCTGATCACAACTCTGAGAGCCCAAAAGACAGCCCCCAAGACAGACTCATTCCACTGAGCATGCCTCTGAAAGTCAAGCATCAACAAGAGTCTTGCCAGAATAACCTCTAAAGTGAAAATCAATGCATTCTCACTTCTGTAAGAGCAACAAAAAAACTCACTCTGGCCCCCAAACTAAGATCAGTAGTATTCTGCTTAGACTGAATCTGTCCATAACCTTTAAGAATGTGGTAAATTGCTTGGCAAGATAGTCACAGAATTCCTCCCAATCTGCACTGCCTTTGTCTCATCAAAAGCTAAAGCAAAGGGGCTAAGGCTGTTGCTCAGTGGTAAAGTTCTTGCCTCGTATGTGTGAGGCATTGAGTTCAATCCTCAGCACCACATAAAAATAAAAAAAGGTACTGTGTTGTTCACCTATAACTAAATAAACATTAAAAAAAAAAAAAAAAAAAGCTAAGGCATAGCCAGGCATGGTGATGCATGATTGTAATGCCAGTGCTCTGGAGACTGAGGCAGGAGGATCGCAAGTTCAAAGCTAGCCTCACCAACTTAGTGAGGTCCTAAGGAACTTAGCGAGTCAAAACAAAAAATGCTGGGGACGTGGCTCAGTGGTTGAGAGTCCCTGGGTTCAATACTGGGTACTAAAAAACAAAAAACTAAAGCATATTCCTCCTTTTTTAAAATCTGGACCAGCTCTTGTGACTTGTTTGATCATCACAATGTAACTGAAGTGACACTGAGATTTAAGAGACTTGTGAGGCACCTATTTTCCCATTCTTGGAATGTTACTCTTTGGTCTGCAATACTGTAAACAAACTAGTCTAACCTACTTGAAGAAGAACCAACATCTTAGCCAATAGGTAGTACCAACTGCCAGTTATGGACAAAATAGTCCTGGGCATCCATACTAGCTTTCCCCCTCCATGCCTGGTACTGCAATTTGAACTTGGGGCCTGATGTAGGCTAAGCTACATCCCCAGCCCTCAGCTACCATTTGATTACAATCAGTGATTAGCCAGGTACAATGACACATGTCTGTAATCCCATGGAGACTGAGGGTGGAGGACAAGTTGGGCAACTCAGCAAGACACTGTCTTAAAATAAAAAGCCTGTGAATATAGCAACAGAAAAACCAATCAATCCCCACAACCATATGAAATAATAAATGGCTGCTGTCTTAAGCCATTAAATTTGTGGTAATTTGTTCAGCAGCAGCAGCAGATAATTGATAGAAATTATCTGCAATAAATTCAGCTTTTTGTTTCAAATATTAATAAGACTTGCTTTCTATAAGACATGAGTCTAGGAGCAGTCACTTTCAATTGTTGTATCTTATATAGTATCAATTTTCTTTTTGAAGAGACAGGGTCTTACAAAAAAAAATCTTGAGTTAAGGGTGTACACCATTCATTTTATTTTTAGGGAGATTAATGAGATTCTAAATACAAACTTTTACAATTAAGATTAACATGCAACTTTTTAAAAAATAGCCTAATATCAAAAATTGGAAAAAATAAATAAAAGCTTAGAAACATTAAATATCTAAATATCACAGAGTTAATAGATACACGAGGAATTATGAGAGAAATTATTAATGGAAAGCACATATGATTTTTTTTAGTTAAAACAATCTAGATTTGTGTCTCAGTAGTACCATTTAAAAGTTTTATGAGTCTCCACTCTAGTAAAGATGGGTAGGGGGAATGGGTGTGATGGTGCATGCCTATAAATCCAGCAACTCAATAAGGAGAAGCAGAGGCAGGAGGATCACATGTTAAAGACAGCCTCAAGCAAAGTGCGATTGTTGCACACCTCTAATTCCAGGGACTCGGAAAGCTGAGGCAGGAGGATCCCGAGTTCAAAGCCAGCCCCAGTGACAGCCAGGCACTAAGCAACTAAGTGAGACCCTGTCTCTAAGTAAAATACAAAATAGGGCTGGGGATGTGACTCAGTAGCCAAGTGCCCCTGAGTTCAATCCCTGGTAAAAAGGAAAAAAACAAAACAGAACTCATTAAGAAACAGTAACATTTGATGAAAAGGGAAATCAACCTTTAAGTACATCAAAAGGGATTAAGAGTAATGAGAAGAAAATTTGCATTTTTGAGTTACAAATGAGTGTTCCGTAGAGGGGCATTAATGGCAAACCCTGCAGATAAAAAATAAAACCCAAATCACTGGTTACATAATTCTAAATTTACATGTAATGAAGGCAAAGCAATAGGCTCAAGTTATGGCCTGCTAAATATTTATACCATAAATATTTATGGTATATTTTTAGACATTTTGATGCAATTTTTTATATTAATGTTTTACTGAGAATTTCTTTTTAATTTTTAATTTTTTAGTTGTTGATGGACCTTCATTTTATTCATTTATTTATATGTGGTGCTGAGAATTGAACTCAGTGCCTCACCCATGCTAGGCAAGCTCTCTACCACTGAGCCACAACCCCAGCCCTGTTGTTGATAATTTTAAAATAGGCTTTATGTGTTAGGGACATAGCTCAGTGGTAGAATGTAGCTTAATGTGCAAATTTCTGGGTTTCACCCTCAGCACCACAAAATACATACATAATGTATTTAGATATAATGGGGTTTTCTGAATTCAGTGTACAGCTGGAACTTCTCATAGGATGATATGTGAATGCCATTAACAAAAAGCTGACAGATAAGGAAGAAAGTTGAAAATATAAGACATGCCTATAATCCCAGTGACTCAAGAGGCTGAGACAGAAGGATTACAAGTTACAGGCCAGGCTCAGCAACTTAGTAAGACTTTTTCTCCCACAAAAAAAGAAGAAAAAAAAGTTGGAAGAAAACCTTTTTTAATCTTAAAAACTTCTGGAGCATTCACTATCCATATTTCTTTTTTCCTTACCTGTTTTTGTTCCTCTCCAAGACTGTCCCACATGGAAGCCACAATTTTTGAAACCTCTCCAAAGGTGGCATTAGGATTCTGCCCCTTGATGGCAGCCTGTGTATCACGAAAAAATAAAGCATATGCTGAAACTGGTTTCTGAGGTTCATTAGGATCTTTCTTTTTTCTCTTCTTTGGGGCCTTCTGCTTTTTCCCTGCTTCCACTACCACTGTCTTCTGACTGGGAAGTTGCTGTAAGAGAGAAAAGAGAGAATTATAAGATGGAAGAGATCAAGTACTATTGTTTTGAGAACTATAAGAAAATGATTTTTATATGGGGGAAATATCCATATGCATGAAATTTATGCTAAAAGTAAAAGCAATAGGTTTAAAAGTTATGAGTAAAATATTTGAAGACCAATAAGAATAGAGATTGAGAGACTGGAAGTTGAGAGGCGGGACCCCACAACCCAGAAGGAAACAGGAGATGGTGGGGTAGGAGCAAAGAGTACTGATTAGGAACTATAATTTATGCTAAGAGTTTTGTCCTAGAACATTATGTTAATTAATTTTGGCAGGGAATGTCTCACCCTCCGGAAATCCTCAACACCATCCTCATGAAGTGAACTTGTAGGTGAAGGGGTGGTTGAAAGACGATCCTCAGGTGACTGAGCAGGTGGCAAGATGGTGCTACCCCCTAAGCTCAAACCCAGTTGAGAACTCAGTTCTGACTGATCAATGGTGGTCAACTGGCTATGCCCCATCAAGCCAGAGGTCATGTCTGTCATTGGTACATCAATTGTAACAGGTGGGTTGGCACTATACTGAGTTCCTATAGAATGGTCCAAGTCCTGAGAGAAGCAAAAGGACTAATTAAACACTAAATATAAAAAAGCACCACTTCCCCACTGAATGCAGGACAGCTTATACTTTGCTTACCCAGACTGTATCATAATTTAAACTCTACAAAACATCAAATAATCTATCTACCTAAAAAACATATTAAGCATTTAAAAAATGTACAGAGATTAGCAAATCCACTTCTTTGCATTCAAAGGCCTATTCTAAAATAACTAAAAATAATCAGAGAAGTTTTAATCTTGAACATATTATCTTAAAAAGCAAATATTTACTCAGTAAACTGTGACAGAGACAACACATACGAACAAGAAAAACTTTTTAAAAAATTCGTTTTTTGGTACTGGGGACTGAACCCATGGGTGTTATACCAATAAGTTACATCCTCAGCCATTTAAAAAATTTGTGAGACAGGGTCTTTCTTGTTAACTTGGGTCTCAATAAGTTGCTGAGGCCAGCCTGGAACCTGTGATCATCCTGCCTCAGCCTCCCAAGTCACTGGGATTACAGGCATGTGCCACCAAGTCCAGAAAAAATAATGGAATTTAAAGCTGCAAAGCACAGGCAATTATAGTAGATAAGACCAATATTAAGAGCTGTTTGACAACAAATATAGAACTGTAGACAGGCTACTGGATATGTGCTGGAAACTCAACAATTTTACTTACAGCACATAAAAATCCACAATTAACACTACATTAAATTCAAATCATTTTTAAATAAATCTGTCAATGTGCCAACTACCATACATTTTAATTCTAGGATGTGAAGGCCACAGTAAAAAGGAGGAAAAAAACAACAACATTATTTTTGTTCCCCCCACCCGCCCAAAAATCATAACATATCATTTTTAAAGGCTGATATCAGACATTTTATAATCTAAAATCATTTTTCAAGTAAAACTGACCCAGATAGTAAATCTCTTTTATTCAGGTGATATTAAGTCTTCATTGGTGAACCTTTAGCAACAAGAAAAAACCAAGTAATACCCAACTATTGTAGAAAATAAAGAGTAACTTTTGTCTTCCCTAACACTATGCCCATGAATTTAAGTGAGCCTAATGATGCCCCTTACCATGGTCAAGCCCCCACTCAGGAGCCCCCCGCCCTGCTCCATCAAGCCATGGGTCATGCCCACAGGCATGTCCAATGTCTGGACCCCATACTGGGCTGAAAAACTGCCATCCTGTGAGGAGGAAGGGTCTGCCAGGTCATCAAAGTGGCCAACCACATCTGAGACAGCCAGTGAGGGATCAGAATCCAAGGAGATAGGTGGGATTTCAAATTCCTCATCACCCAAGCTTGGTGTATGGAATGTCTGTAGGGGGAAAAAGGGGAAAAGAATTAGAAGAAAGAGGAAAAACTCCAAATTGCCAAGTTAAAAAACAAAAAAGAATAGCAAGGTACTAGAGATTTTCAGTATCTCTTTTCAGCTTGTGATAATATTTTTATTCTAGTTTAATTTTACAAATACCATTCCTCTTTCTCATGGCTTTGATCATATGACACACATAAGTCACAAGCCTGCCAACATCAATCACAATTTTCAATTTTTTTTTGGTGGTGCTGGGGATTTAACTCAGGGCCTTGTGCATGAGAGGCAAGCACTCTACCAACTGAGCTATATCCCTAGCCCCCAGCCCACAATTTCTAATTCTTTTATCTCTTATTAACCTTAACCATCTTGGTTGTCCTAAATTATTGTCTATTGTTCTAATGAATAATTTTTTCAGTCCTAATTAGGAACCAGCCTTTATATATAACCTGTTTAACTATGTTACTTAAAATTTCTCTAAATATTTAATAGATTATAATTTCATAATTATTACACTTAACTGTCAAACCACAAAAATTATTGTTGACTTACCAATTATCTTTGTTGTTAGGTTCCTTTGATGCAAATCCTGATACTGTCATAGGAAACTTATCCTCCTCTAAAATAGCTGCACATAAAATCTACCTCTCCTCCATTTTAGAAATTATAATTTCTTTTCAGCATGGGGACTGAACCTAGGGCCTTGCACATCTAGGCAAGCCCTCTACCAGAGTTACATCTTCAGCTAGAAATTATAATGTTAAAAAAAATAAGATTCCTATTTATACAGGATTTTGGGGAAAACCCAACAATGCCAAGATATGGATGGATAATACTAAAAGAGAAAGAGCCTGCCAAAGCCAAAATAGTTCTTTTAGCAGTTCTTGACTAGTCTTGGTCTGATCAAAACTTTCTGAAAGAGATGGAAGGGGGAAAAAAAAAAGAACTTCTACTGGCTAAAGACCCAATCCATTCCTCTTGGACCAACTAGACTACTAATTCACTCTTTCTATTCTGAATAGGACTACCCCACACAAAGCTAACAGCAACATCTAATCTCAGATATAACTGCCATGATTCTTTTTTGACACCAAAAACTATAATGGAACATACGTAGCAGTAGAGCATTATAAGTAACAGCAAAAGACTAGTGTCAGAAAGACCTGGGTTCAAGTACCAGCTCTGCCACTTACTGTATAACCTTGAACAGGTTTTCCTCATCTATAAAGCAGGGATTATAATGGTAATCACCTCATATGGCTGAGGAAAAAATGGGATTTAGAGCACAAAGCTTATCACATTGCCAGATACAATTGCTTAACAATAACCAATTTTTAAAAATTACTTTTTATATAGTTGTAGATGGACAGCATGCCTTTATTTATGTTTTTATGTGGTGTGGAGATCGGACCCAATGCCTCACACATGCTAGGCAAGTGCTCTGCCACTGAGCTACAGCCCCAGCCCAAAACCAACCTTTTTTAAAAAAATATATTCTTTATTTGTCAATGGGCCTTTATCATATTTATTTATATGCAGTGCTGAGAATCAAACCCAGTGCCTCACACTTGCTAGGCAAGCGTTCTACCACTGAGCCACAATCCCAGCCCCTAACCAGTTTTTTTTTTAAATATTTATTTTTTAGTTTTTGGTAGACACAACATCTTTATTTTACTTTTATGTGGGCTGAGGATTGAACCCAGCGCCCCGCACATGCCAGGCAAGCGTGCTACCGCTTGAGCCACATCCCCAGCCCCCCAACCAGTTTTTAATGATAATATTCTAATAGTTAATTTGCCACCTGCCCCAATCAATTAACATAGGTATCTAGAATTATAGAAACTTGCCTGCAAGTGCTCTCTCATTGGGCTATATATCCTCAGCCCTATCAATAAAATTTTTTTAAGGAACTCCATAAGGTTCCTCTAGACACAGAAAGGGCCTCACTATTATCAGTTTGTGTTTTAATAAAAAACACAGCTGGAAGAATACTTCCAGTTAGTAGAAATTAGTAAGAAAAAAAGTATGCCTGTGAAATATTCAACCTCTCTAAGATATATTGGCAAAAAGAATAAAAGTTTTTAAGAAGATAAAAAAATTGTTTTCAGGCTTTGTTTCTACATTTCCTCCTCGTTATTTTACTTTGATAAACATTTATATTTGTGTGGGATATAATATGACTAGTATACAGTGTTTAGGAGCAAGTATGTTTGTTGTTTTTTGGTACTGGGGATTGAACCCAGGGGTGCTTTACCACTGACCTACATTCCCAGCCCTTTTTATTCTTTATTTTGAGACAGGGTCTTATTATGTTCTTGAGGCTGTCCTTGAACTAGTGATCCTCCTGCCTCAGCTGGGATTACAGGCATACACCACTGCCCCAGGCTAAGCAGGCAGTTCTTGATGGAAAAAACTAAAATTTTCCCAAGGAACTCAGTTTTTCTCAGTATACAACTCATAATTTCTGTTATTGTAGGAGAGTTCTTAAATATTTTTTTCCTGAAATTTCAGTTTAAATTCATGTGAGCATTTTTCAGGAAGGAACAAGATTTTTTTTTTATCCTATTCTCAGGCAAACCAAAAACTTAAGAGGGACAGGGAAAAGAATCAAAGGAAACATTTACTGTACTAGATTAATAACTGAATATTCATTTTTTATTTTGTTAAGATACAGATTTATTTGGTAAAGCAAAAGATGCCTATCCTTTTCTGCTTATCACAACAAATAAAAAAGCTTCTCTGCCAAGATAGGAAAAATGATACTGTTTGTTAATGAAAAACTTCAAAAGAATCAAGATTCATATTCAAAACAAGGAACTAGTGTTCTATAAGTGACTACTAGGACTCATAAACCATCAGGCCTGATTTCATGGACTACACCAGACATGGAAAGACTGCATTGTTTCAGATCAACAAGGCATTCTTTCTAAGCACCGCCCCTTGGCATATGAAAAACAGATTTTTATTTAGTATCTCTGGCTTTTATTGTGTTTTTTGTTGTTGTTTACTTTAATTTTTTTCCACTAATTATAAATAAGATAATAGCAATTATCAAGAACACAGAAGGGTAACTTTATGTTATACAAAACATAAGGGTTTACAAATTTTTTCTTTTTACATTTTTTTAGTTGTTGATAGGCCTTTATTTTATTCATTTTTTATATATTGTGCTGAGAATTGAACCCAGTGCCTCACACATATGAGACAAGTGCTCTGCCACTGAGCAACAACCCCAGCCCAGGGTTTACAAGCCTTTTACTGTAACATCTGTAAAATTAGGGGTAAAATCCACAATGAATATCCATTTTAATGGATCTATTTTGTAACTTTTCACTAGTAATAATAAAACCAAGTTAGAACTGTAGCAAATATTAAAGTGAAAATAAATTGTATGGGGACTTAAGGAGAAAATAGGAACATGATGCAGCTACCTTCTCACTCAGCTTTTCTTTCATCTGTTAAATTACTGTATCTTTCTGGGAAGGGGTCAGTTTTAGAATTACAGATTATAAGGAAGGATGCCTAGATAATGAACAAAAAGTTGAAAAATACCAATTCCCTTCCTTTTCACATTACCCCATACCAAAACCAACAATTTATCATTTCCTCCTTTATTATATTTATTTATATGTGGTACTGAGAATCAAACCCAGTGCCTCACACATTCTAGGCAAACACTCTGCTGCTGAGCCACAACCCCAGACCCCATCATTTCCTCCTTATTATATTTTAAATTTTTTTAATTTTTATTTTAAGGCTGGGGTTTTGAATTCTCCCACATTGAAGCCTCCCAAATGCAAAGCACAAGCTCTAGGACTGAGTTTTACCTCCAGGTATGCATTACTATTTAAAAAAAAAAAAAAACTTTTTTTTTTTCCCTTAGGGCTGGGATTGTGGCTCAGTGATAGAACACATTTGCCTAGCATGAGGCACTGGGTTAAATTCTCAGCACCATGTATAAGTAAATGAATGAAATAAAGGTCCATCAACAGCTTAAAAAAAAATTAAATTTTTTTTTTTTTTAGTTGTAGGCGAACACAATACCTTTATTTATTCTTATATGGTGCTGAGAATCAAACCCAGCGTCTCACATGCGGAAGGCAAAGACTCTTTAGCTACAACCTCAGCCTTGACATTACTTCTCTAAATAGCTTTTTTTCTTTTTAATTCACTTTAGAGAACTTTTAATCTAAATACTATTTACTCAACACTACACTAGTACACCAGGTTATTAAAATAATTGTTCTTTTGCCAGGCCTGGTGGCACACAACTGCAATCCCGGTGACTCAGGAGACTGATGCAGAAGGATTTCAAGTTCAAGGTCAGCCTCAATAATTGAGGGACACCCTCAACAACTTGGCGAGATCCTATCTCAAAATTAAAAAAAAAAAAAAAAAGGATTGGGCATGTAGTTCAGTGGTAAAGCACCCCCTGGTTCAATCCCTAGCACCTCCCACCCCACAAAAAATTTCTCTTAAAATTTGATAGAGCACAGTGTGGTAGTACATGCCTGTAATCCCAGACTTGGGAAATGAGGCAGGAGGATTAAAAGTTTGAGGCCAGCCCCAACAACTTAGCAATACCCTGTCTCAAAATTAAAAAAAAGTAAAAGAGGGGCTGGGGATGTTGCTCAAGTGGTAGTGTGTTTGCCTAGCATGTGTGAGGCACTGGGTTGAAGTCTCAGCATCACATAAAAATAAAATAAAGATAATGTGTCCACCTAAAACTAAAAAAAAAAAAAAAAAAAAAAGTAAAATAAAGAGAACTGGGGATATAGTTTAGGAGTAAAGAGCCACTGGGTTGGGTCCCCTGCAAACTCCGCCCCCCTCCAAAAAAACCCTCTTTCTCTCCCTGCCTGTCTCACACACACACACACACACCAAAAAAAAAAAAAAAAACCAACAAGAAAACCCTGATACAGTAGTGAAAATTCCACCAATTCAGCCTAAAATAATTAACTTTTTAAAACATTATAAATAACCCTTCTCCCCACACCACCACCTTTGCTTTTTTCCCTTTTTGGTACCAGAGATTGAACACCTTGGGCACTCAACCAATAAACCACACTCCCAGCCCCACCCCCCTTTAAATTTTGAGACAGTCTAACTAAATTGTTGAGGCTGGCTTTGAACTTGCAATATTCCTGCCTCAGCCTCCCATGCAGCTGGAATTAAGGCATGTACCACCATGCCCCACAACATTATAAATTCCTTTCCTAATTAAAGATGGGCATCTTTTTTTAAAAAAATATTTTTTTAGTTGTGGATGCACACAATATCTTTTTTTTTTAAAATATTTTATTTTTTTTAGTATTTGGCGGACACAACATCTTTGTTTGTATGTGGTGCTGAGAATCGAACCCAGGCCGCATGCATGCCAGCTGAGCGCACTACCACTTGAGCCACATCCCTCAGCCCCGCACACAATATCTTTATTTACTTATTTTTATGTGGTGCTGAGGATGGAACCCAGGGCCTCACGTATCCGAGGCAAGTGCTCTATTACAAAGCTACAACCTCAGCCCCAAGGATGGGTATCTTTATGACTCCCCTGCTCCCCCTTACTGGAATTGAATCCTGGGGTGCTCTACCACTGAACTATACCCCAAGCCCTTTTTACTTTTTATTTTGGCAAAATAAATTGTCCAGGCTAGCCTCAAATTTGAGATCATCCTGCCTCATCCTCCAGGGTTGCTAGGTTTACAGGCGTGCACCACAAAGGCTATCTAGCTTCTTTAGAACTTATCTCCCCCAGTGCTCACAGCACAAATCATTATTTAAGAGCCAAACTAATTAAACAAAGACTAAATTTCCTTCAGATCAGAAAACTTTCGTATATTAAACATGCTGTAACAAATGCTAAACCTTCTTCACTAACACCCGCTCTTTTAAAATTATTACTTATTTCATTGAGATATAACTATTGTAAGATACATAAATTGTAAATGTTTATCTCAGTGAATTTCTACATATGTAAACAGCCAAACATACCTATTATAAAGATCAAAGATGCAGAACATTTCTGTCACTCTAAAAAATATCCTCTCCACAACAGGTATCATTATTTTTGTGTTTAATTTTACCTAGTGTTTCTTTTTTTTTTTTTTTTGGTATCAGGAATTGAACTTGGGCACTCAACCACTGAGCCACACCCCCAGCCCTGTTTTGTATTTTATTTAGACACAGGGTCTTACTGAAGTTGCTTAGTGCCTCACAGTTGCTGAGGCTGGCTTTGAACTTGTTAACCTCCTGCCTCAGTCTCCGGAGCCACTGAGATTACAGACATGCACCACGGCACCCAGCGCATAGTCTTCTTGATTTTCATAAATAAAATTTAACTCTTGGAGTGGCTAATCTACTTCTTGTTTCTTCCACTTAAATATATATGTGTGTGTGTGTGCGTGTGTGTGTGTGTGTGTATAACATATACCCATCTAATTCTCACCTTTGAAAATATTAGAATTTATTAGAGGATAAGCCCATTTAACATCAATTGAGAATTCTTGAAACAAAGGAGCAATGCAAATGGTTCACAATGCTTTTGAAAAAATATTATAATCCTCAAAAGATGGTAGAAGATTCAAGATTCTGCATATTCTCAGACTGGGAAATTTTTGTCTCATTCATGTTTCACTCCTGCTTTGCTTAAACAAGTGACACATATTACAGTATGACAATATTTCAACCAGACCTTTTCCAGAAACAATTTAGAGCCTTACTATAGCCTTTACTTCTACTTCACAACATCATAAGAAACCATTATTACAGCCATTTGACAGCTGGAAAACTGTGACATGAAGTTAAAGCAATCTTCCCAAAGTTGTCACTTGCAAACAAACACATGCTCAGTTCAACTCCTTTCATGTCCATTGGCAGCTATTTTCCTTTCCTGTTGTCATTAGCAAAACAAGCTGACATCATGTAAGTAAAAGAACTACTTAGACGAGTAGAAAACTGAGAGGAACAATATGATCCCTTCAACAGAGTTCAAGAATGAACACATGTTCAAGGTTAATCCCTTTTAGGCAAACTACTTCTCTGAACCCAATTTCTTTAGCTACTGAAAAAAAAAAATTCCTCGTCATCCCTCAAGATTGCTGTAGTTATTTCTTCCCAATTTCCCTCAGTCTTCTAACTCAGAATTACCCTCCTCCTTAAATTAAACGTTCTCTGTTTTCAACAACCTGGTTTGCTGATGCCAGCAGTTTCCCAGGCCTTCCGCAGGTCTTCTTTCCCTCCTAGAATCCTCATAGGCTCTAGAAGCAGCTACCACTGCTTCTACCACTTCCTCAAAACACAATCGCAGTCTCTGGTTCCGAATCCCCAGTCCTTGGCCTTCGCGCTCTCCTCCCCACCACCCTACCCCCCTCCGCTGCCTCAGTGTGCCCCCTACCCCCCCGCAAGTGTCAGCAGCTCTTGCTCACCTCGGCCCCTGACAGGAAGGGGTGTGAGGGCCCTGTGATCGTCAGGTAATTGTCATTTCCTCCGGGAAACTGGAAACCAAAAGAGATCCGCGGGGATAAGTTAGGGGATGCAGGAAGTTAGCTTGAAGCGACGGATTCTGACCCCGACATTCTGACAACACTCTCCAAACCCCGCTTTCCGCTCCCGTCAGCCGCCTCTCCGCCCGGCTTCCCGCCTCTGCTTCAACCCAGTCGACCACGCTTCTCTCGCCAGCCTTCTTAGTGCCCGGATTCCTACCTCCATCTTCACACAACCGCTACCACCGTCTCAATCCCCTCATCTCTCCCACCAACCCCACTGGACTCGAAGTGCGTCACTTCCCCAAGGACGTGCGTCGCACTCGGCTGATTGGAAGGAGACGGCAACGAGTCAGGCGCCAATCGTACGGAATGGCTAGGTATCGCCCCCTGGAGCTTGGTGGGGTAATAGCATATAGAAAGTCTAGAGGAATCCCTAGAAGCGGTGTCGGAAACTCCGGATCGAGGGAGGATTTCTGGGGAGAGCAATAGAGACGTGGTCCGGGCTAGAGAGGCCGGGGAGGGGAAAAATAAGGAGATCGGTAGATTGAGTGGCTAGAGAAGTCGGAGGTAAGTGGCTGTAGAAATCGGGCGTACCCGGAATACTGCGGAATCGGGACCATGACTTATGCTTATCTCTTCAAGTACATCATCATCGGGGACACAGGTAACCCACGGGTGGACCGCCTTCAAGGCTGGGGCGGGGATCTGAAGCTCCCAAATCGGGTTGCGGGGGCGGGGCTCACTTAGTGGGCTGGGCGTTTCGAGACCAGCGGCCGGGGGGCGGGGCGGGCGGCCGGGGGCGGGGCTCCGGGCTCCCCTTCCTCAGTCCTGGACGCCCGGAGTCTAGCAGCTGGAAAGTTCTCGGGCCGCGTGCTTGCTGGAATTTATGTCCTCCTCTTTCAGGTGTGGGGAAGTCATGTCTCCTCCTGCAGTTCACAGACAAGCGGTTTCAGCCTGTCCACGACCTCACAATAGGTAGGTGTATCTACTTGTTCCAGAACAGATAAAATCAGACAAGCCAAACTGCTCAAATAGGTTAGCAGCCTTAAATGTTCGAAGTAAAAAGTTACCCCCACTACTTTAAACTAATCCGAAATTATGTTAAATGAAGAGTAACTAATTAAACGCTGATAAATGTGGAGTTAATAATTGAAAGGTAATTTTAAAGGTGAATGGGATTTAAGGACTAGTTGTAGGATTTTTTCCTTCAAATACAGTTTTATGTTTATAGGAAATCCCGTGAAAACATAACTGCCTTATCAGAAACTCAAACGCGATAAATACCAACCTCATGTATTTTTCAAAGAAAACACTAATACATGGACCTTTGTATGTTGGAGATGAAAAAGCAAATTGAAGAACCATCCCAGCCTTAGAATGAAAAGACAGCTGAAAGTGATAGCTTTCCTCTTTTAAAAAATTTTTGATAGAGTTCTGAAAACATACTGGTGGTCATGGAAAATATTACCATCTCCCACACGTTTGTGATGAGGCAACCTGGAGGTGCTCTAATCGATAAAGCCAACCCAAATAAACAATATATGTAAAACTAGCCTTCTGGCCATGCAAATGAAAATTTAAATGAAATCTAAAGATCCCCATTCTTTTTTTTTTTTTTCTTAGAGAGAATTTTAATATTTATTTTTTAGTTTTCGGTGGACACAACATCTTTGTATGTGGTGTTGAGGATCAAACCCGGGCAGCACGCATGCCAGGCAAACGCGCTACCAGCCCCAAGATCCCCATTGTTAATCTGTTTCTACTTCCAAGTCCTACCAGTATGGAAACCTAAAGCTACCATTGGTCTTCACGAAGTTATTCAGAGCTAAATGATTGTTGAGTTTAAAAAAGGATTTAGAGGATAGCATCAACCAGAAACTATTTTGTTTAATGAATATTTAAGTGAACACTGACACTGTGGTAGGGACTAAAAACACAGTGCTTAACTAGGTAACATTGTACTTTCCTGTCAATTATTTGTAGTCTTCGGTGTGAAGGAGGTAGGGCTGGGGGCAGATACTATCAAATTTGTATTGCAAATGGAAGGAGAGGCTTCCATTTCTATCAGGAAATGCTGAAAATCACTACTGAGCAGGAGTTAGCTAGGCAAAGGGGTTGTAGTGATGAGGGGGAAATGAATACGGCAAGAGGGAATAACATTTGCAAAGACCAGGATGGCAAAGATCAGGCAGGCCACTTTTGGAAAACAAATAATTTAATATGGCTGGAACTTGGAAGTTTCAAATGGAGAGTAGCCAGGAATACAATTGGATCTAGGTGTGGTGGCATCTGCCAATTATCCCTGCCTTAGGGAGGCTAAGGCAGAAGAATTGCAAGTTCAAAGCAGGCTCAGCAATTTAGCAGAGCTCTAAGTAACTTGAATGAGCTCCTGTCTCAAAATAAAAGGGGATGTGGCTCAGTGATTAAGTGTCCCCCGTGTTCAAACTCTGGTATCATTAAAAAGAATCAAGTTAGAGAAACAAAATTCAGTACCAAGTATTTAAATACTTGATGGTAATGGGGAAATGACCCTATTAACAAGTTTTAAAGTAAAGGAATGAAGTGGTCAATGAACTTTATCCCAGAGTCCAGTAGAACCTGTGTTTCTGAGTTCAGTTCTGTGTACCATAACATACAAGGCAGATGGATAGAAAATACATTTGCAAAATGTCTTAGTGTACAACTAGAAGAAACTGCATGAAAGAGACAAAAGTTCTACATATTAATTTTTACCCATTGAAATTCCATTCCTGTTGTCCAGAAAGAATTAGTGAGTTTTTTCAATGGTTACTGTGTGATTATTTATTAATTTTGGTGCTGTGGTGAACCCAGGGGAACTTTGTTTTTTATTTTGAGACAGGGTCTCACTATCTTGTTTCAGGCCTCAGCTTCCCAAGTGTGCACCATCACACCTGGCCCATGTGATTCTTGATAAAGCAGTTGGAGTAGTAAAAAGCAATTCTTATACCTTTCTGCTACGTGCAGCACCTTGAAGTTGAGGTATTTCAGGTATATTGTGCTTATCTGCATAGGATCACTAATAGGTGCATATCAGCCCTTAGGGTAAGCTAGATCAGTCATCATTCTTACTTTAAAGTTAAAATTTCTCATGTGTGAAGTACTATATGAAATAGATAATAGGATAAAGATCTGACTTGTAATTCATTGTTTTTGTTTTTTGGTATTGAGGTTTTAACCCAGGAGTGTTTCATCACTGAGCTACACAGTCCTTTTTAATTTTTTATTTTGAGACAGGGTCTCACTAAGTTGCCCAGGCTGGTTTCAAATTTGTGATCCTCTTGCCTCAGCCTCTAGAGTCACTGTGATTACAGATGTGCACTACCACACCAGTATTTAATTTATTGTTTTTAATATAAGTGACTATCTTTTAAATTTTGGCCTGACAGTACCTTAAGAGAAGAATAATGCCAAGTAAACTAGAAACTTACTCAGATTTCCAGTTTCCATGCTGTAGGGGTGCAATTTTCCAGTGAACTCTGGGAATTATTGGTGATGTGAAATGTATCATTCTTGAAAGTGTCTATTTTTTTAGGTGGGCTCTTTTTTTTAAACAAAAAGTTCTAGAGTTACAGAAAGAAATGTTTCATGCAGGGACTAGAGAATACTCTGAAAGTTGGGAATTTTTAAAAAAAATTTTACAAGTATTTAAAGAAATTACAAAATGTTACCTCATCAAATTTAAGTGTTAAAACATTGCTAAGAATTTATTCACCTTTTTGCCGAGCATAGTGGTGCCCACCTGTAATCCCAGCAGCTGAGGAGGCTAAGGCAGGAGAATTGCAAGTTCAAAGCCAGCCTCAGCAACTTAGTGAGACACTGTCTCACAATTAAAAGAACAAAAAGAGGCTGGGGGTGTAGCTCAGTGGTTGCATAGCACTGGGTTCAATCCTGGTACCAAAAAGAATGTATTCACCTTTTTAATTTGAGTTTTTAGCTTTATTCCCCTATCTACTTGGTTACATTCTCAGGTCATATCACCTAGAATATAATTTTTTAATTCTAAAAAAAGGAAACAAATTAATAAAATTAACTGGAGCAAATAGCGGCAGTTTTGGGCTTAGTGGTATTGAATACGAAGCTTAAGTCATTAAATATTGAGGAAAAGCTCTAACCTCTCACTCAACATGTCCTTTATTCCCAAGAATCACATTTTTTTCTCTTGGTCTTTTCTGAAGGTGTGGAGTTTGGGGCCCGCATGGTCAACATTGATGGAAAACAAATCAAACTGCAAATCTGGGATACGGTAAGAGAGGACAAAATAATTTTATCCCCGACTAAGATCCAAATAGAACAATAAAAGTTGATGCAAGGGAAAAGGGTAAAGAGGGTGGGTCTATTGGTGGTGATGAAATAGGGGAAGATAGAAATCAATGAGATAGGAACGCTTTACTTTTCACCTTTTACAGTTACAAATACTTCCCACCCCCACGCCCAGCACTAGGCATTTAACCAGGGGTCTTTTACCACTAAGCTACATTGCTAACCCTTTATATTCTTTATTTTGAGATAGGGTCTTTCTTTCTATGTTGTCCAGACCGGCCTCAGCCTCCTGAGTCACTGGGATTATAGGTGTGTACCACCATTCCCAGATCTAATTAGATTTTCCATCTCACTTTGTTGAGTTGCCCTAACTACAGGAACATGAATCACTTTACATTTTTAATAGTGATTAACTCCTGTCTGACATCCATAACTTCCGACCTTGTTTCATTTAAATGGCCAGTTTTTGTTTTCAATCCTTTTTTCCAACATTAAAGCCTAAGAAATCTTGCTCTGTATCTGCTGTCAAGGTTAACTGTATATTTTTTAAACAGTTGCTATGTATTTATTCCCTTTCATTGTTGAGGTCTAGTGACTTTTTGTCACTACCCTAATTACGCAATGCAACCCTGATTTTGTATTTCCCAAAGAGGGAGATTTGGACCCCACAGAGAGTACAGCATAGATTTCGGAAGAAGTGACAAAGAATGAAGCCTGTGGGTATCAAGACTGATATAAGTTAGATTCTACCTCTTTAACTTAAACCTCTACCACTTCCAAAAATGGATGTTTTGATGGCAGGAGAAAAATCCAGTAGGTGTGAGTTAGTGGTGTATGGTCATGGTCATTCATGTATTGGCTGCTGATTTCTTTCTACCTTAAATGCTCATATGAGATATTATTGAATCACGAGAGCCACTACTGTGTAGACAGGATTCTTAAGAAATACTGGCCATTTAAATGGGCCTAGTTCATTTCTGTTCTCTTTAAAAATTGTTCCGAGATTAATATTCGCTGAATCATAAAAAGCAGATTTCATAATACTGTAGCTATTTGCTTTGAAAAAACTAAAAGATTCATATTTATGATGTAGTG